ATACTGTTTAGATTATATGAAGAAAAGCAGAAATACTTTTATAGCTAGTGTAAGTTATACTGTGAATTAAAATTGGTAATAACAAGACATTGTTTCTGAGATTAACTGAAGACCCACAACGTACTTCAGCGTAAGCCTATTACTTTTCAAACTGTATAGTTTATCAACAAAGATACATTCTTGATAAACTAAGAAAATCTAAATTACGTACGCCAGCTTTTTACACTTCTGACAAAGTAAGAAATATCTTAAATTCAGACCTCATATAATCCGTAATTCTCACTAATATATAGGAAAAGATTCTTATCTTTTCAGAGAGTGTTCTGATAGTGGGCATTCGCCTATACTGTCGTTTATTTAAGGATTATCTGTGATTAAACGAAGAATGTTTCTTTTTCTTTAGTGTAATAATTTACCAAACTGATTTATTTATTAAATATTGAAATATATGGTCATTTAAGTAGATTTAGAAAGATTTAAAGATAAAAAATTGAGCTAAGAATTGTCTTCAAGGCGAAATATTTATCTATAAGTGAAGAAAGATAGATAAAATTAAGTACAGTTTTAACTTTTAATCTTTAATTTGTGCAAACTTATTTAAGTAGTTTTGTATAGGTGCACTGAAAATAAAATTTAATGAAAATTATAAAAGTAGAGTTTATTTTACGAACTTTCTTGATGAATACATAGAAATTCTGCTTTAGGTGGCTTAGAAGTAGTGTAAAGATTTAATGTAATGTAAAAGTTCAAAGAAGAATATAAAAATAAATAGTTAATTTCTTGGAAGACCAACAACTACACCAAAAAATCCAAATAGAATTTATATTGCATAATTTGTTGAATCTACTTTTTTACGCCAGCTAAACACTAAAAAACTTTTCTTTAAATAAATTATTGACAAATATAAATGATATGATTTTAATAACAATTTTCTTTTTAATATTTTAAAATTTATATTGAAACCACTTGAATATTTTTCAGTTATTGATATTTTTTATCGTTTATATTTACGAATATAACGTTTTTATTATAGAAAATAAATGAGATTTTCCCTCGAAACGTCCTTGAACTTGCTTTGGCAATTGCTGATTTTATTTTATGTCACTATCAAAATGATTTATCATCTCAGGGATTTATAGTTGTCCACTGAGACAACAACTACCACATTAAAAAATTCTTTTACGAATTTTTATATAATAAACTATTGAATTTAGTATTACATAAGCCATTCAGTATTTTTTTCTTTGAAAATAGTATCAATCGTTATTGAATGCCTTTCTTTTTAACATAAAAATCGAAATTCAGAAACTATATAACCTAATGCTTCGATGAATTTTCATTATAAATTCATTATTACGGAAAATAAAAAAATAAATAAAACTTTTATTCGTTTTATCTAAAAATATCGTTTTATATTGAATATTTTATAATAGATCATGCGTAAATTGAAATGAATGGCTTCGTATTTTATTACATTGTTCAATTGCTATAATAAAAGTAGAATGAAAACTGTTTAAATCTGAAATTTAGCTACAAATAGTTTTGTTTTAAATTTATAATTTTACGTTTCTCCTATGATTCAAGCTCTTTCATTTCTTTGGTTATTTTTTATTGAATATTATAGAAAGCAAATTAAGTTCAAAATTTAAGATAAGAAGAAACAAGCAAGATTTTGCGTACCTTGAATACTAAAGGTCTCGTTTCTTGTTGATCTTATTAAATTTTCTTATAATTTATAACTTTTACGAAACTTTCATTGTTCATTTATTAAATATTCTATTAATAAAGTTAAGTTTGAAGTAGTTTAATTACAAGATTTTGTGTATTTTAGATACACAAAATCTTGTGTATCTAATCCTGTTTCTTGTAGATTTTACTTGTACACAAATCAAGTTAAAATTTTAAAAAATGTAATTAAAAATTAAATCATCAAATTCTTTAATCCAATAGAATCAATAAAATTTACTTTTTTTAATTTATTTATATACGGAATGATTCAAAAGTTAGTTAATTAAAATTATGTATGAAGTTCGAATAGAAGAACTGTTTCTTTAACTGTGATTAACTCAAAATAATCTTAAAAATATATCTTGGTTAAGTGAATTTTGGGCCATCCTGCATTTAAAATTTTGATAGGAATGTAAATAATTTTTAGTTCAAAAATATTCTTTGATTAACCAAATTACTATAAAAATATTTGTTAGAATATTGATTAAAAATCCACTTAAATGAGAAATAAAATTAAGAAAAATCTTCACAGAAGTCAAATACTTATACTTAAGTTTAAGTTATTCTAGATTTGCTAAAGAACATTTAATAAGTGAGGAAGAAAATTACTTTTTCCTGGGAAAAAATAAATAATCAAAAATAGATCATTAGATTTTCATAAGATTAAAATTTTTTTTTTAAATACAACTTTTTAGGTTAATAGGAAATTGATAATAAAAAAACAAACAAAAAATTGAACAATTTAATTATTACTTTTTGTCAAATTACAGTTTAAACACTTGAAAAAAAAATTAAAGATAAAATATTGTTCAATATTCTTCAAGATTATTAAAACTTGAGAAGGGTCCGCAAGGCACACTTTAGAATAGATTTTGTGGCTTTTTTAAACTGGAATTGATATCTACAATGTCTTAAATATTTGTAAAAACTACTTAAAGATATATTTTAAAAATTGAATTGTCAATAATAATTCGAAAACATTGTCAACATCTTTATTTAATTTCACTAAAATAGGCTGGGGATAACAGAATACGAATATTAGTTTTACAATTTCACTAAACTTAGTTATTTGTTTAATATTGATTTATTTCCTGAAATTATTTGTTAAATATAATATTTATAAATAGGAATAGATTTTTTTAAATGGAAGTAATAAGAAAGGGATAAAAATCTTGTTAGAACTTTAAAAATGTTGTTATGCTACTGAAATATTGATCTTTATACATATAATAATAATATATAAAAGTTTCAGTTAAATATAAATTAATTACATAAAATTATAATTTATTATTAAGTTTATTTAATTAAAGTTTTAATTAATTATGTTTTATTAATATAAAAATTATAATTAAAATTTTAAATTAACAGTAAATCAGTTTAAATTGATTGGAATTGTATTGCTTATAGTAATTCTATGTAAAATATTTATATAGAATTAATCTAGAACATTTTTAATTTAGAAAATATTGAAATTTCAAAATATTTTTAATTAATTGTTATTTAATTCATAATCGAATCTTCAAGTAAGTGTCATTTTACATTTATTCATTAACTTAATAGCATGTTTATGTAATAGTTGAGTGTTTTAAATGAATTAAAAATTGTAAAATTTTAATTTTGAATATTAAAAAATAGAATTTTATGAAGAAATTACAAATGAATCAATAAAATTTTAACATTTACATAACTAGATGTCGGCATTATAATGGATCAATTGTTTCCTTCATTCTAAAGGATTAATACTTATATACCATTCTATAAATAATTAATATTTGAAAAATAAAACGTAAATATAACAAATATATATTATATTGAATAGTTTAATTTATAATTTATTACATATATTTCTAATTTATAGATAACTATGACAAGTGTTTATGTATTTAACAAGAGATTTAATTATTTAAAGTAAATATAAGATGAAAGGAATTTTTAATTTGTATATATAATAGGATGTGTTATTGATTAGATGAAACTTTTATAAAATTATAATTAAGTTACCCACGATGAAGGCAACTGTAATATTTATCAATGGCATATCCATGTATCGCTGTAAGGGATGCATCAAATTACTTTTGTAGATAGATCTAAGGTTTATGATTATGTAAAAATGATTTATTTAACTTTATTTAAGCGTTATAAAAACATAAATAAATACAGAATAATAATTTGTCAGAAGTTTTCTTTATGAATTTATTATAAATTTTTGTTTAAGAAGAGGTAAATAACTCTCTGTACTAATATAGGCCTACCCTTTTCATATTATCACATTAGTGATGATTCTAGCGTAAGAAATCCGAAATTTTTTGCATAGAATCTTTCGATTTAGAAGTTCAAATACGCAAAACTTTATTTGTCGATGCTCGGTCTAAGTAAAGTATGTAGGATTTAATACTTGAGAGGATTCTAGAGTTTGTAGGCCTACTGGATAATATTAAATATCAGCATGATACAAGCTTCATATTACATTGTTAGCTTATAAAAGAATCTCGCAAGTCCACGCTTTCATAATTTGTTTAATAAGCTTCCATTCACTTAATAACAGTAGAAACAATGCTGATTTAAATCTACTATATATCAAATGCTTTTAAAATATGTAATGGTGTTTCTCAATCAATAGATCGCGTACTACTCTAACGAATAAGTTATTTACAGTAACGACAACTGTGATAACCGTATGTAATGCTAATATTTATAATAATTATATCAAATTTGAGAATATTTATTAAAAAAACTAAATAAAATTAGTAAAAGTACTTTAATTTTTGTGTTCCATTTTAATTTCAATTTTAATTAATAAAAGTAAAACTGTTGGTTCCAAATTCAATGAAAAAACTGGGTGTTTTCTTAATTAAAATTATATCCCAATCTGTCTTTAAAGTTTATAAAATTCGATATTAACGTCGGAAAAGACTCCACTTATATCAATTTTTACAGATACGAAGAGTCAGTGGCACCATCTGTTATGATTTTCTGATATTATTTTTAAATTTTTGGCATGTTATTAATAAAATTTATCATTTCTGCTACTAAATAAAATTTAATGTATTAAAAACTTTAATGGTTATTATCTACAATTAATAAAAATAAAATATAATAATATCATTTAAATATAATTACCAATTTTATATTTAAAATAACTAAATTATATTCTTATTACTCGCTTCATTATTAGTTTTTTTTCTTTGTTTCTTTAATTATTATTAAAGATTTTCGAACGAAATAAGAAATTTTGTTGCTAAAATTATTCAAAATAGAAACTTTAAATAAAAATGTTCAGGTAAATATTTTTAAACTATTAATTAATAAATTAAATTTTAAATAAAATAATGCCAATAATTATGATTAAAGTTTATTCTTATCAATTTTAAAAATTTATATTTAAAATTGTTTCAATTATAACAAAATTCCAGGTTTATTTTTATAATTATTAAAGAGCTTCTTAGAAGAAATAAATGTTGGTAAATATTTATTTTTATTTATTTATTTAATATTATATTTAGTAAAACAACATTTTATTTCACAATTATGAAAGGAAAATTGACTTTGCTTTTAGTGTTTACTTTGAACCAGTATATTATATACGTTTTTTTACGTAGAAGGATAATCAAAATGACGTTAACATTGGTGTTTTATTTCAAATTAACTTTTTAAAGTTTTCCCTATGAAGTTTTATGAACGATTTGATGCTTTTGTACTCCTCTCCCTATTATTTTTCATGATTTACGAGTACGTATCACACAAGCTATCGCTCAGATCAACCAAAATATGTTGCAGAAAGCGTGCCATGAATTTAATTACCGCATTGAAGTGTGCAGGATTACTCGGGATCCATGCTAAAAGACTGTAAAAATCTCGATTTGTATGCTTTCTTTGATCTATTTTTGTTATAGAGGCGATGTAGTCAATTAGAAGTAAATTTTCAAAGTTTCCGACATTATTTTGAGTAACCTTCCATATATATTGTAAGTATATAGAAGGTTACTCAATATAATATATATACTGTATATATAATAAAATATTCATAATTTAAAGACAAAGATGATTTTACAGTCTTCAGAATTTATCCTACACAAGAGTAACATAAGATTACACAGTATAGTCGATTTTTTATTAGATCTCCAGTATATAAACACATACTATTGTTAAAAATTCTGTATAACATCAGCATACTTTAAAAATGTATAACTGCATAATTATTAGAAGCAGGACAAAAATTTATTTTAAAATACTCGTAATTAGAATAGCAATAAAAAGGCTTTCTTCTGTATAAAATTGTATTTCTTTGATATAAAACGGAACTATGAATACTCCAAAATTTACATTTCTCTTTTAATTATGAGTACTTTGTAATAAATTTTCAGCCTAGTTAGTATGATTTTACATGTTAATTTTATTATATTTTTGTTTTTTTTTTAGCGTAAGGTTCACGGCTTTTATATTTATTTTTCTTATCATATTAATTGCTGTGTTAAGTGCAAGAGAGAAATATTCCAAAGAGACGGAAAAACTGTTAACTCTAATTTTATCAGAAGCATTTGACTGTTGCAATGCCGTTAAGAACGAACCTTTTATTGCTTTATCTTCTGAACATCTTATGCAAGCCATTGCATTACTTAAATATTTGAATAAAGGTAAATTATAGATGCAAAATGAAGATATTTAAAATATTAAATAACATTTTAAAGTTTTGTGTTTTTAAATCATATTTAGAAACAATATGTGGAAGAGAAATGGGTGTTGAAACGAAGTTTGATATAATAAAACCTTGGTCGTGGAATTTTTGTGTCGAAGGCGATTGTAATATCAAAGGAGTATGTTTTATTATTGAGTGACTTTAAAAAATTTTTATATTCTTATCTTAACGCGGGAGATACGTTCCTAGATGACAAAGCGTTAAACGAAACAGCGTTAAAAGAGGTTATTTTAACAGTGAGTAAATAGGGAAAGGAGAATACGCGATCAAAAATAAACAGATTTTTACTTTAATTTTAAGTTATTTTATATTAATTTGTATAATAATATATGTTAAATAACACATAAACGTGTGCACACAGAAATGTAAAATTCATTTTTGTGACGAAGTTCCTGACTTTTCTGAAATTCTTGTTCTTCTAATTTAAAGTAAATATAAGATGAAAGGAATTTTTAATTTGTATATATAATAGGATGTGTTATTGATTAGATGAAACTTTTATAAAATTATAATTAAGTTACNGAAAATAAATGAGATTTTCCCTCGAAACGTCCTTGAACTTGCTTTGGCAATTGCTGATTTTATTTTATGTCACTATCAAAATGATTTATCATCTCAGGGATTTATAGTTGTCCACTGAGACAACAACTACCACATTAAAAAATTCTTTTACGAATTTTTATATAATAAACTATTGAATTTAGTATTACATAAGCCATTCAGTATTTTTTTCTTTGAAAATAGTATCAATCGTTATTGAATGCCTTTCTTTTTAACATAAAAATCGAAATTCAGAAACTATATAACCTAATGCTTCGATGAATTTTCATTATAAATTCATTATTACGGAAAATAAAAAAATAAATAAAACTTTTATTCGTTTTATCTAAAAATATCGTTTTATATTGAATATTTTATAATAGATCATGCGTAAATTGAAATGAATGGCTTCGTATTTTATTACATTGTTCAATTGCTATAATAAAAGTAGAATGAAAACTGTTTAAATCTGAAATTTAGCTACAAATAGTTTTGTTTTAAATTTATAATTTTACGTTTCTCCTATGATTCAAGCTCTTTCATTTCTTTGGTTATTTTTTATTGAATATTATAGAAAGCAAATTAAGTTCAAAATTTAAGATAAGAAGAAACAAGCAAGATTTTGCGTACCTTGAATACTAAAGGTCTCGTTTCTTGTTGATCTTATTAAATTTTCTTATAATTTATAACTTTTACGAAACTTTCATTGTTCATTTATTAAATATTCTATTAATAAAGTTAAGTTTGAAGTAGTTTAATTACAAGATTTTGTGTATTTTAGATACACAAAATCTTGTGTATCTAATCCTGTTTCTTGTAGATTTTACTTGTACACAAATCAAGTTAAAATTTTAAAAAATGTAATTAAAAATTAAATCATCAAATTCTTTAATCCAATAGAATCAATAAAATTTACTTTTTTTAATTTATTTATATACGGAATGATTCAAAAGTTAGTTAATTAAAATTATGTATGAAGTTCGAATAGAAGAACTGTTTCTTTAACTGTGATTAACTCAAAATAATCTTAAAAATATATCTTGGTTAAGTGAATTTTGGGCCATCCTGCATTTAAAATTTTGATAGGAATGTAAATAATTTTTAGTTCAAAAATATTCTTTGATTAACCAAATTACTATAAAAATATTTGTTAGAATATTGATTAAAAATCCACTTAAATGAGAAATAAAATTAAGAAAAATCTTCACAGAAGTCAAATACTTATACTTAAGTTAAGTTATTCTAGATTTGCTAAAGAACATTTAATAAGTGAGGAAGAAAATTACTTTTTCCTGGGAAAAAATAAATAATCAAAAATAGATCATTAGATTTTCATAAGATTAATTTTTTTTTTAAATACAACTTTTTAGGTTAATAGGAAATTGATAATAAAAAAACAAACAAAAAATTGAACAATTTAATTATTACTTTTTGTCAAATTACAGTTTAAACACTTGAAAAAAAAATTAAAGATAAAATATTGTTCAATATTCTTCAAGATTATTAAAACTTGAGAAGGGTCCGCAAGGCACACTTTAGAATAGATTTTGTGGCTTTTTTAAACTGGAATTGATATCTACAATGTCTTAAATATTTGTAAAAACTACTTAAAGATATATTTTAAAAATTGAATTGTCAATAATAATTCGAAAACATTGTCAACATCTTTATTTAATTTCACTAAAATAGGCTGGGGATAACAGAATACGAATATTAGTTTTACAATTTCACTAAACTTAGTTATTTGTTTAATATTGATTTATTTCCTGAAATTATTTGTTAAATATAATATTTATAAATAGGAATAGATTTTTTTAAATGGAAGTAATAAGAAAGGGATAAAAATCTTGTTAGAACTTTAAAAATGTTGTTATGCTACTGAAATATTGATCTTTATACATATAATAATAATATATAAAAGTTTCAGTTAAATATAAATTAATTACATAAAATTATAATTTATTATTAAGTTTATTTAATTAAAGTTTTAATTAATTATGTTTTATTAATATAAAAATTATAATTAAAATTTTAAATTAACAGTAAATCAGTTTAAATTGATTGGAATTGTATTGCTTATAGTAATTCTATGTAAAATATTTATATAGAATTAATCTAGAACATTTTTAATTTAGAAAATATTGAAATTTCAAAATATTTTTAATTAATTGTTATTTAATTCATAATCGAATCTTCAAGTAAGTGTCATTTTACATTTATTCATTAACTTAATAGCATGTTTATGTAATAGTTGAGTGTTTTAAATGAATTAAAAATTGTAAAATTTTAATTTTGAATATTAAAAAATAGAATTTTATGAAGAAATTACAAATGAATCAATAAAATTTTAACATTTACATAACTAGATGTCGGCATTATAATGGATCAATTGTTTCCTTCATTCTAAAGGATTAATACTTATATACCATTCTATAAATAATTAATATTTGAAAAATAAAACGTAAATATAACAAATATATATTATATTGAATAGTTTAATTTATAATTTATTACATATATTTCTAATTTATAGATAACTATGACAAGTGTTTATGTATTTAACAAGAGATTTAATTATTTAAAGTAAATATAAGATGAAAGGAATTTTTAATTTGTATATATAATAGGATGTGTTATTGATTAGATGAAACTTTTATAAAATTATAATTAAGTTACCCACGATGAAGGCAACTGTAATATTTATCAATGGCATATCCATGTATCGCTGTAAGGGATGCATCAAATTACTTTTGTAGATAGATCTAAGGTTTATGATTATGTAAAAATGATTTATTTAACTTTATTTAAGCGTTATAAAAACATAAATAAATACAGAATAATAATTTGTCAGAAGTTTTCTTTATGAATTTATTATAAATTTTTGTTTAAGAAGAGGTAAATAACTCTCTGTACTAATATAGGCCTACCCTTTTCATATTATCACATTAGTGATGATTCTAGCGTAAGAAATCCGAAATTTTTTGCATAGAATCTTTCGATTTAGAAGTTCAAATACGCAAAACTTTATTTGTCGATGCTCGGTCTAAGTAAAGTATGTAGGATTTAATACTTGAGAGGATTCTAGAGTTTGTAGGCCTACTGGATAATATTAAATATCAGCATGATACAAGCTTCATATTACATTGTTAGCTTATAAAAGAATCTCGCAAGTCCACGCTTTCATAATTTGTTTAATAAGCTTCCATTCACTTAATAACAGTAGAAACAATGCTGATTTAAATCTACTATATATCAAATGCTTTTAAAATATGTAATGGTGTTTCTCAATCAATAGATCGCGTACTACTCTAACGAATAAGTTATTTACAGTAACGACAACTGTGATAACCGTATGTAATGCTAATATTTATAATAATTATATCAAATTTGAGAATATTTATTAAAAAAACTAAATAAAATTAGTAAAAGTACTTTAATTTTTGTGTTCCATTTTAATTTCAATTTTAATTAATAAAAGTAAAACTGTTGGTTCCAAATTCAATGAAAAAACTGGGTGTTTTCTTAATTAAAATTATATCCCAATCTGTCTTTAAAGTTTATAAAATTCGATATTAACGTCGGAAAAGACTCCACTTATATCAATTTTTACAGATACGAAGAGTCAGTGGCACCATCTGTTATGATTTTCTGATATTATTTTTAAATTTTTGGCATGTTATTAATAAAATTTATCATTTCTGCTACTAAATAAAATTTAATGTATTAAAAACTTTAATGGTTATTATCTACAATTAATAAAAATAAAATATAATAATATCATTTAAATATAATTACCAATTTTATATTTAAAATAACTAAATTATATTCTTATTACTCGCTTCATTATTAGTTTTTTTTCTTTGTTTCTTTAATTATTATTAAAGATTTTCGAACGAAATAAGAAATTTTGTTGCTAAAATTATTCAAAATAGAAACTTTAAATAAAAATGTTCAGGTAAATATTTTTAAACTATTAATTAATAAATTAAATTTTAAATAAAATAATGCCAATAATTATGATTAAAGTTTATTCTTATCAATTTTAAAAATTTATATTTAAAATTGTTTCAATTATAACAAAATTCCAGGTTTATTTTTATAATTATTAAAGAGCTTCTTAGAAGAAATAAATGTTGGTAAATATTTATTTTTATTTATTTATTTAATATTATATTTAGTAAAACAACATTTTATTTCACAATTATGAAAGGAAAATTGACTTTGCTTTTAGTGTTTACTTTGAACCAGTATATTATATACGTTTTTTTACGTAGAAGGATAATCAAAATGACGTTAACATTGGTGTTTTATTTCAAATTAACTTTTTAAAGTTTTCCCTATGAAGTTTTATGAACGATTTGATGCTTTTGTACTCCTCTCCCTATTATTTTTCATGATTTACGAGTACGTATCACACAAGCTATCGCTCAGATCAACCAAAATATGTTGCAGAAAGCGTGCCATGAATTTAATTACCGCATTGAAGTGTGCAGGATTACTCGGGATCCATGCTAAAAGACTGTAAAAATCTCGATTTGTATGCTTTCTTTGATCTATTTTTGTTATAGAGGCGATGTAGTCAATTAGAAGTAAATTTTCAAAGTTTCCGACATTATTTTGAGTAACCTTCCATATATATTGTAAGTATATAGAAGGTTACTCAATATAATATATATACTGTATATATAATAAAATATTCATAATTTAAAGACAAAGATGATTTTACAGTCTTCAGAATTTATCCTACACAAGAGTAACATAAGATTACACAGTATAGTCGATTTTTTATTAGATCTCCAGTATATAAACACATACTATTGTTAAAAATTCTGTATAACATCAGCATACTTTAAAAATGTATAACTGCATAATTATTAGAAGCAGGACAAAAATTTATTTTAAAATACTCGTAATTAGAATAGCAATAAAAAGGCTTTCTTCTGTATAAAATTGTATTTCTTTGATATAAAACGGAACTATGAATACTCCAAAATTTACATTTCTCTTTTAATTATGAGTACTTTGTAGTAAATTTTCAGCCTAGTTAGTATGATTTTACATGTTAATTTTATTATATTTTTGTTTTTTTTTTAGCGTAAGGTTCACGGCTTTTATATTTATTTTTCTTATCATATTAATTGCTGTGTTAAGTGCAAGAGAGAAATATTCCAAAGAGACGGAAAAACTGTTAACTCTAATTTTATCAGAAGCATTTGACTGTTGCAATGCCGTTAAGAACGAACCTTTTATTGCTTTATCTTCTGAACATCTTATGCAAGCCATTGCATTACTTAAATATTTGAATAAAGGTAAATTATAGATGCAAAATGAAGATATTTAAAATATTAAATAACATTTTAAAGTTTTGTGTTTTTAAATCATATTTAGAAACAATATGTGGAAGAGAAATGGGTGTTGAAACGAAGTTTGATATAATAAAACCTTGGTCGTGGAATTTTTGTGTCGAAGGCGATTGTAATATCAAAGGAGTATGTTTTATTATTGAGTGACTTTAAAAAATTTTTATATTCTTATCTTAACGCGGGAGATACGTTCCTAGATGACAAAGCGTTAAACGAAACAGCGTTAAAAGAGGTTATTTTAACAGTGAGTAAATAGGGAAAGGAGAATACGCGATCAAAAATAAACAGATTTTTACTTTAATTTTAAGTTATTTTATATTAATTTGTATAATAATATATGTTAAATAACACATAAACGTGTGCACACAGAAATGTAAAATTCATTTTTGTGACGAAGTTCCTGACTTTTCTGAAATTCTTGTTCTTTTGCAATAAAGTCGTGAGTCGCTTTTTTCTTTCCTTAAGTAAATGTCGGTAGCGGAAGATCGCATCCAAAACGCCTCGTTTTGCTTTTGCACTGTCGCTATAAATTGTCTGGACGTACGATTTCCCGCGCTTTTCCTGTTTTCAAACGACCAACGGACGTCGTCATGGAGACGCGGATCCGGCGATGTCAGTAGTTTTGAAACTCGACCTCGGATTGGCTAGAAAACATCGTACGACCAGCGGACGTTCGATAGCGCTACTAATCGCTGATTGGTGGAATTACATTCGTCTCAACACGTATAAAAGGATTGAGATTAGGCGGGAAGTTCAGTCTCCGACGACATATCTAAGGAACTGAAGTTTGTTAAGCTTCTCCTAAGCTTCTCTTAAGCTTGCCTAGAAGGTCGTCTCGCTGTGCGGTAACCAACGTCTGAAGGAATATATCGCAAGGAGTCCTTTTCGACGGACCTGTTGTTGTGGTTTAATTGACATTTGAAGTTTGCTATATCTGGATTATTGTAATTGTCGTATGCTTGTGAAATTCATAACTGTATGTAAGTTTTAATCGTTAATATAAACGTTCGTGATTTGTGAAACAAGTGGGTTTGTGAACTTGACTCACTCCTTTCAAAATCTAGATCATTCGCTACAATTTGATCAACGATTACGGTTATCGTTACCAAACTTTACTAAGGAAATCTGTAACAAGTTCTTTGGGTTCTTCGTTTTCAGAAACTCTGTTTTCCAGTTCTACATGAATTCCTTGTTCTGCCAGTTCTTGAAGGTCGTCGTTGGTAAGGCTCTTACCAGACACCTGCAGTAACTCCTCAATATCCTGCTCGTCTACTCTCCTAGTTCTGCTGTATCGATTAATAGTTTGGTCAACCTACAGCGATAGGCTCATCTCGTTGAGAATTCTTGGATACTTTTAGCCATATCTTCTTCCACACTATTCATGCATTTATCAGTTAGTTCTTGCTAAGCAAAGTCGATATTGCCTATGGCATCCCTGGTGTTATATTTTTTCCAAAATTGCACCTAACAAACATATTTAAGGAAAGTACAGCGCTACGCGAATTACCACCTTTTGCTGATTGGTTCGTGTTTGGGAATTCGTATTATATACGAATCAATAAAATACCGTGATAATTTGAATCGGGGTAAATTTTGAACTGTTTTTAGGCTTCGAGCAGACGCGTTATATCGAATCAGTGTTAATCGAGGTAGTGTTAAGCGGGGTCTTACTGTATTTATAAAATAATATATGCAGTTTTTAAATTTCGACATATTATTAATTAATTAGTTATAAAATCTTTCAGCAATGAACTCCTTGTGAAATTATGAACCCTAAATGATGTGTCACATGATCCCCTTCCCATTTACAATTTCGGATTTGCATTCAATATGGCGGCCGTGTGTGTAACACATCTGTTACCCCTTAGTCTAATGTGTTTCCTGACACGAGCGAATTAACTTTGCATGCATTCTATATTCTGTAGCAGTGGTCTTGAGTTTTCTTTCCCACCCTGTAGAATCAGCATAAGAAATGAAAGAGAATGGGTTTTATAAGCACAAATATATTATACACTGTATAATATATTGTATATTAATTGTATAATATAAATATTCAAGTCGTCTCTTCTGCAATTGTCTTCAACTAAAGATTTTAANCTTATACGAATAAATGTATTCTTATAGTCTTCTTTGTCGTTCTTTTCACATGATCTTCGTTAGCTGAGACGACCTTTCTTTTCATAAAAATATACGAAAATTATTCGTGTGTTATAATTTTCAAAAACAAACTGCTAAATTCAAGAAACCGAAATTATTCTTTATTCAGTTACGTTTTCGGCCATTCTAGGGCCATCCTCAGCTTGCAACAATTATAATTGAACCTGTGTTGAATGAATAAAAAATTAAAAAGGTGTGTGACGAATCTGTAATTATAACGGAAAAGTTAATGAAGTTCGTAGTTATTTATTGCAAATTATAAATGAATTTGCCTAAAATGTTACTGAATAAAGGATAACTTCAGTTTTCTGAATTTAGCGATTTCATTTCGTAAATTATATTTTTTTCTCTTGGAGAATTTTAATGATGTATTATGTACAACAGAGATAGGAACAGCTTCTAATTTATATGTATATATATTGTTGGGAGTGTATGCAACGTACAGTACAATACACATGGCCTTATAAAATCACTCTGAAGTAAGATGTAAAGCGTTCTAATTGAAATAATGTTCCCAATCTCTGATTTATAAGAACCGAAGATTAGTTTTCTACAAGATTAAAAATAATTTAAAAAAAAAACATTATTAGTCTTATAATCTTACCACAATTAAAAGCTATTTTTCACATAAAATTATTTTTAATCATCAGCTTCAAATAATCCGAATAGTCAAGAATGCATTTGGTAGGCTTTTGAAAATTAAATAATAATTTTCTACTTTTAATTTCTTTCAGAATTGCGTCTGTAACCATTTTGTCACGGGTAAAAAATGTAATATTTTTACTAAAAGTTGCTGGCTTTATTACTGTGGTTTACAAGGATGTGAGTCTCAACAAGTAGAAAAACAGACTTTAACTTGTTTTTGTAACAATAGTCACTTACCAACTACAACAGGTCAGTTATATTTACATAAAATTTAATATAAAGATTTTTTCCAAATTACTCAATATTTTTATAGGTATATTTTGGTATGATGGAGGACTGGATACTGAATACATAGCTCCACACAGGAAATCTAACAAACAATTTACTGGAGTATATATAATTAAAACAATTTTGTATAGGCGTAATTGTATGTTATATAATTCTTAATACTTCTACATATAAACAAATAATTGAAATTCTAAGTTAAAAAATAAAATTAATTCTTTTCTTAATAATTTTAGTGGAGAAAGCTGCCAAACATTATGGAAATACAAAGGAATTATTCGAAATGTTAAAAATATTGCTTCCTTACGAAGAAACAACCAGAAGTAAATTTATAAATACAATTGTTCTTTATCTGAACTATAATTATATATATTTTATTTTCATTTAGAAATTACAATGAAGGAAATAAGTTTTCCCTACACCCTGTCAACAGAAATGTCATCTGAGGAAACTGAAACTATATTTACTACAGCAGAAAGTACTACTGAAGAAGACACTGAAAATTTTATAAAACATTCTACACAAGAATATAATAATTTTCCTAGCGAGGATGATTATAAAAAAGAAAACACGAACGATACGTCTGATGAAGAGTACTATAATTATCCTAATGGGATAGGAAATAGGAAGTTTTCTTCAATTCTCATGATTTCAGCTTCTATTTTAATTTTAAAATTATAAAATTATGTACATTAAATATTATAATTTAAAAAAATAAAATCAAAATTTATATATTGGCTTTATACCGAGCATCAAAATGATTTTTTTTTTAGGAAAATTATGGGCTAATATAGTTTTATATAATAATATCATTGAAATAATCCATGTCTGTAACAAAAGTATAAGTATAAATTTTATCTAAATTAATGCTTATAATATTGTCAAGATCAATTTTACTTCTTGTAGAAATTTTTTCAGAATTAAGACAATTAACTGAAAATTATAATTATTATTTAATTTGATTTAATTATACAGTTTTAGACTAATTTATAATTTATTTAATTAAATACGCTCATTTTTATTGAAAAATTTAATTAATTAATTATTTACTTTTTTTATAAGTTTAATAATAAATGAACACAATAGTAATGTTTAGCTAAACATTTTGTAAATTTAAAATTACAATAACACATTTTTGTCAAAATACTCTAACTCTCAACGTATTCTTTCTTGATGAGCAGCATCGATATACTTGGCTTCAAGCCTTTAATTTTGGTAACATATTAGCAGAATAAATGTTAATTTATTCTATTAAAAAATTGTTTATGTACTGTACAGTACTTCAATAATAAAAATATAATTTTTGTATTCATTCGTACACGTTTGGTTAATGACAGATTCTATTATTATGAGATCATTTTATCACTTACAGGATTCAAGCATCCCTCCCTATTTTATCTCTCAAATATAATGTATAGGCATTTAAATTAATACACAAATCCTTTGTAAAAATTCTGCTTTAAAACATGATCTTTAAAAATAGATTTCTTCTTTTAAGTTGATATAAACTTTCTGCTCTATACTATAATTTTTTTTTATTTGACATATTTTTAAGATTTTCTTTAAATAAAATACATCTTTTACATTACTTAAAAGCGACCTTTCCTTTCAATTTACTAGCTGTCACCTGCTATATTGTTGTCCAATTTGATGTCATTCGTTCCCTAACTTTTATATCTAAATTATTATGTTTATCATAAATTATTATTATTATTATTTTAAAATGAGGTTAAAAATTAGAAAATATTTATATCTCATTTTATTGCAAGATAATTAAAAATTTAAATTACTCTTTCTCATCATTTTCATTCCTTTCAAATTTCAATTTTCGTTTAGAATTTATTACAACATTATTATAATTTTATAAAAGCAGAATTTATTTAATTTCATTTCAGTTGATTTTATTTTCGTATTTCTTCAGGGTTTAAACTATTATTTGAAGTTAGTAGCCTATATATATATATATATGTATATAGGCTACTTAACGAGACGGAGTTGGGAAAAAACATCACTAAGATCTTCACTGTTACTTTGTATTTCAACCAAAAGGTAAATCTTTCAAGAATCCGCTAGTTGATTGTAAAACAGAAAGTGGAAAGTAACGAACAATTATTTATTGTGACATTGTAACAATAAATAATTGCTGGACTGCTGGACTGATTCGAAACTTGTAAAACACGTCAGAAGAAATAAATTTCGACAAAATTAAAAAAAATTAAATTAATTAAAAAAATTATTGATATAAAAAGATTGGCAATTTTTGCCTTACCCAGTAGTGATGGGTTTTGGTTGCTCCACTTGCAGGAGGCTCTTTGTACTTTTTCGATTATCGTATTTCACTGATATTTTATATTTTTCCTGACATGTACAGTACTCCTAGGATTTTACTCCGTAATTATTCCGGAGATTATTGCAAACTTCAATCCACAGTCCCTTGAACTTACTTTGGTTAATTTTAGTAACGGAGGCTTCCGAAAATTCTTGGAGAATTCTAGTAATTTAATTAATATTTGTGAGTGCGGAGAGGATAAACGTCAGCATATGCCAGATAACTAATCACGTAATGCTGTGTAAGCGGCAGTCTGTACCCTTTCAGGTCAGGATGTTTCTCAATAAAAGCGGAGGAATGGCTCGATTCTTACATCAAAGAGAAGCATTGAAAGGAGGCAGCCTTGCCGCACAGAGCATTTTAAACTGCAGGCTTTCGAAATGCTGTTATTTACGAAGATGTTGCTTATCGCTTTATTATAAGACAGCTGGATTTATGTTAGGTAGTTTTCCCCAACATTAATATGCTGTAATAATTCTCATAAATACTCATGGCCTGCGTTGTCAAATGCTTTGTGAAGATCGATTTGCAGGAAGCTGCCAGTGTCATGATTCTGGTGGGCTAGAGTACTAGATGTACAGTACTGTACGTGCACTTACCTGCGTGGAATCGAAAGTGTTACTCTGTGAAAAATCTATAAGTATTTAATTTTCCATATCTAACAACAGGTTTTTACATTTCCGCACGATACTTTCTTAATTCTAATAAGCGTCCTAATTCGATGAAACATTCACCAGATAAACGTACGTACATCGTATCTTGATTAGAAATAAGTAGCTCGATATCATATTTTTTCGGTCAATTTATTAAACATTAAATACATAAAGTTTCGAATCAACAGTTAAATATTCAAACTTTACGTGAATTACTAAACTCTCTAGACTGGAACTTAATTTCCAGATACCGAAAATCAAATGAAAAGTTCATAGATGACTTTCAAAATCAACTTCCTTAGTGTCGTATTTTAAAATATCAAAAAGTAATTCGATATGCTTTGGAGTACATTTTATATTTATTTATTAAGGTTTTAAATTTATATTTCTTATATGTAAAAATAATGATAACATAAAATAAATAAAATAAGATCGGGTACAGTAAAAATAGCATTATGATGTAAATGTCATAAAATTTTCTGAAATTTGAAATGATATATGCTTTTAAGCACACTTATGCTTTATTTTCACCCATCTATATTATTAATACCCTCCTTAGATTCAACTATATCAGCGGTCTTTCCTCTCCTTTCACGTTTCATCTGGCTTATCACACGAAACATTATGTTATATAAGCTACCGACAGATATTTCAAACTGTATGAAGACAAACTAATATTCAACTATTCAAATACTAAATAGTAGAAATACAATAATTTTGAAATAAAAAACAAAATTAATAATTCATATAGTTGACTTGAAAATTTAATAATTGTGTTGATGGTATTATCAGAGAAACAATAAAGACGATTGTTGAATTGTAAGATGTTTATTTCGGAATTTATAGTTTAGAATGTCGTAGGGCCGTTAGATTTCGAGTCGAATAATTTTGTTTCGTAATAATTTATTACAAGATTGCTAGATACTTAGCGCCAGATGTACTGTACCACAAATTACACGCTCCATCTGACCCAGTTTGGAGTGCAATAAGCTGCCCTCGGCGCCAGGTAGGTATTAATCCATCAATCCGCACGAATTTTAGACCCGGAAAGAGGTGATGGACAAGATAGACGACGATATAAGAAAAAGGACCGACGACGTAATGGTGATATTTGCAGAGGAGCGGAGAAAAGATAGAAAGACATCGAGGTCTTTAGTCCACGACCCAACCCAGGATCCACTGTATTAAGATACAGTGGATCCTGGGTTTTGTCGATTTGGACGATTTCGTCCGTTTTATTACAACACATCCTTACAAACATCCCTCATCGTAACATTTACAATTGAACCATTATCTAGTTTGTTCGTCGCATCCAATCATTATATAACACCAACACTGTCATATAATACCAACACTGCTTCCCGAAATCCAACCCCTAGGTCCTCGTCCTAAGAAGTGGAAACGTCACTCGATATTTTCGAGTGGCGGCTGAAGGGGCTCTGGTACACTGAATATACATACATTAGAGTTGTGTTAATCTTCTCTGTGGAAGTTTGTCAACAGAGATGTAAAGAATATTTTTAAAAATTCAAAAGCTTTTTAAAGATATTTTTATTGAAAAGCACGGATTCTGTATGTAAACAGTTTCATTAGGATGAAAAAAATCATATAATCTAAATCTATATATATAATATATATATATAGGTTTGTCTGTGCTTGTCTGTGCTTGCCGACATACACCGGCGATTGTTCGAATGCATAATACTTTAACCAAATATTCGGTCTTTCACCGACGTATTTTGTATGTTTCGACATTCAACGGAGAATATTCGGTCTTTCATAGTAACATATATATGATAAAATTTAGTACAGGATGATGTACTTGTACTAAATTGATCACTAACAACAAGAATAACAGAAAATATTTCAAATATTTTACGAATATTTATAAAATATGAGTATAGTAAGAAATTGAATGTATATTCTGAATTGCTTTTATATATACGCTTGAAACATACATAACTTTATGACATTTCACTCTGTAAAATGGAGTCTTGATCGTCGTGGGGGTATAGCTCAGTGGTAGAGCATTCGACTGCAGATCGAGAGGTCCATGGTTCAACTCCGTGTGCCCCCTTCTGTTTTTATTTATTCGAAAATTCGTACTGCTAGACAGACTAAGAAAATATAAGTTCTTGAGTATAACTGTTTCTTTAACATTAAAAAAAATTTTAATGTTAAAGAAAAGTTAACATGTATGAAAAAACATGATAATTTTTTTCATGTTAATATGAGAAAAATCTAGGTCTGCGGAAGGTCTTTTGATGATACATATGGATCAGGGCTGCAGTTCCAAAATGGAGGATCTCTGTGCAGCTGTTAGAATGTTTTGCGAATAATTTAATTCGAAGCATTTAAAAGCAATTCGTTTTTGCTATGTAAGGCTTTAATTGGGAGATAAAATGAATAATTTAAATTTAATGTATGTAGCTCCTTTCTGCAAAATAAAGCAGATAATAAAATATTTCAAATATACACGTTTTGTTAAATCTGATTTTAGTTTACTAACGTGCAATTATTTATTGTGACATTGTCACAATGCCGGGCTGCAATTTATAATCATATTTTCAATTTATTTCATTTAAAGTATATGCTCTCCATCTCAAATTAGTACTGTCGGCAAAGTAACGGTAAAGTACAGTACATGATACTTTACTGTTAGCAATGTTGTGCCGGTCATCTATGTAAATCCTTTCATGGGAAAGTTTTGAATTTAAATAACATGACTTCCGGTATGCATTTGAAATTCGTATATAGTTAATCGAGGCTCCCTGCCCTTAAAGTTTC